GTGGTGATAGATAGATAGATGGGGGGGTTATCTAACTTGCTGGCTGCTCCTGTATGCTTCTGGGGTATGATCTATGACAATGCAAGATCCTTCTCCTCTGCATTCTCTCTCAGTGGGAGCAGGCTCCAATGCTCCCTCTCATGGGACACACCTGCATGACAGTCACCTTTTCTTTCTTGCCTTTGCAGCTTGATCCCCTCTCCCATCCCACCCTTACTTTTTATTTAGCTCTGTGCAGCCATCCCTACCACTGTAAACTTCTGAAATTGGATGTCACAGTCCTGGTGTGTGTGTGTGTGTGTGCGCGCGCGCGCATGCACCAGTGGACTAATGCCTTGCTCTGTTTCTTGTTTACTGTCCACCCTGTTATTGTCAGCCCCTGAGATTTTCAGCTCCTTTGGAGTGGTGGGAACAGCCCCCTCTAGGCTGTGTCTACACTGGCATGAATTTCCGGAAATGCTTAAAACAGAATAGTTTTCGTTATAAGTATTTCCGGAAAAGAGCGTCTACATTGGCCACAGATGCTTTTCCAGAAAAAGGGCTTTTCCGGAAAAGCATCTGTGGCCAATGTAGACGCTCTTTTCCGGAAATACTTATAACGAAAACTATTCTGTTTTAAGCATTTCCGGAAATTCATGCCAGTGTAGACACAGCTTAGGGATTTTAATGTGCCCTTTCCCTTTGAATTGTCTCAGAAGGTATATCTACACTATGCACTCATTTTTAAATAAGCTATTTCGGAATAATAACTCCCAGAATAGTTATTTTGAAATAGCGCGTCCACACTACAAATGCCTATCGAAATAGGGCAGATCTATACTGTAATAGTGTGTCCACACTGATTGGAAGCTGAATCACATTTAAGGCCCTGCCCCCTACCCCACCCCGCCTCCCGAAGCTTCCTGGGCAGGGCATCAGGGCAGCAGTCACTTCCTGTAGCTGCTGCCTGAGGCTATTTGAGGGTCATGCTTAAAGGGGTTCCCCTCTATGGCCGTGTCTCAGGCTCTTCACCTTTGCCTACCTTCTCGAAGGACAGCAACCTCATCTCACTGCCTGCTCTGGTTCCCTTGTAGACACCACAACACTTCCACCATGAAGATGGACCTGCTGCAAAGCGTCCACCGGCTGTTAGACCTCATGCGGCATCTTCTGGTGCGGTTACTGTAGGCTGCCCACGTGGCACTGCAGGCCCAGGACCCATGGCTCACTCAGGGCACCTCCTCACCTCTCTCCACGTGCTGCTCATGCAGCACAATCTCTCCCACCTTCCCCTGCATATGACAGGAATAACACCGCTAATAAGGCCTCTCCCATCAAGTTGGGTTGTGTGTTGTCAATCATCTGACCCAAGGTTTCCTCTCTTTTTTTTCTGCCTGCAAACCAGCCCCAAACAGCTACAGATTTTTTATGGCTTGGTGCACAAGTGCTCAGTGCTTGGCTTATTCACAGGAAGGTTGACCTATGGGCGCATGGAAGAGATTTCCCTTCACAATTGACTAGGTGGGCGTGGCGTCCTAGGACATTTGCTTCCGCTACCTGATTGGATGTGGCATCGTCTCTACCCATTTATTGCCTTTTCTCCTGTAGTTAGCTTGGGAGCTCCTTGGGGCAGAGACTTTCTTTGTGTTCTGGATACGTACAGCGCCTATCGCATGGGTTCTGGGGCCATGACAAGGGCTTCACCAGATAACTTTATTCAGGCTTGGCCGCTGGCAAAGGTTTAAGGATGTTTCCTCACAAGATGCCCATGTGGTAAGGGAACAGTTACTAGTAATGAATTAGCATTATTCCCCTTTTACACGGGGATGGAGAAGCAGACATGCCAGACCTCAGCAAAACCCCTCAGCTACAATCTTGTCTACTCCAAGCCTTTAAAAATCATGAGCTGCCCCCGCCCCCATCACTAGACAGGCTTGAAAATGATGAGATTATAAAAGAATAATAATATTTATACCATCTGGGTTTTGTTTCTTTGCCTTCTGGGTTCTGAGCCTTTTGGGGCCAGAACATTTGGCTTTTCTCCCCATTGGTGAGAGCAACGTTAGTGCTGATTGACACCTCAGAAGCTTGTGTCATCCCCTGACTCCAGCAGCAAGTAACACGAGACCTGGGATAAAATCGCCCGAGTTGGTGACAGCTCATCGCCCAGGCTGCATTAAAAATCTGGCCCTAGCTGTGGAGAATTAACTGGCCCAAGGTCACACCGGGCACCAGAGGAAACCTGAATTGTCACCGAGCGCCTGAACCACAGACCAGCCTTCCTCCTTCTGGGCACTGAAGACTTATAGCAGAATCATGAGCAACATTCTGTGATTTGCCCACCTTTATCACTGGTTGACAGGGAGACACGGCCTGGGAGATACAGCCTGTGACTAGGACAGTCAGGCCTGAAACCTGGGCTCAAAGTACAGGTTGAACCTCTCTAGGTCGGCACCTTTGGGACCCGCTGAACTGGAGAATTTGCTGGACCACACGTGGTCCATATTGTCTAGCAGCATCACCATCACTTCTACTGCTTGCTGGGCTCTTAGAAGATATTCAAGGGCACATTAGAGCTAATAACAGCACAGAACCCTGAGAGTCAGGACTGGCAGCTGTAAACAAACTTTATGGGACCATGGGACCGTGTCCATGATGAGTGGACAGCCGGCTCTCTAAAACCATGCCGGACCACAGATGTTGCCAGAGCAGAGAGTGCCAGACTAAAGAAGTTCAACCTATAAATCCCACTGGCATGAGTGACTCGCACGCAGGAGAGGAAGCAAAAAGCAGCTAGGACTCTGGAGGGACATTCCCAGACCTGGCACGCTGCTTCTCACCCAGCACCAATAAAGCAATCGGTGCAGTGGAGTGGAGCCGCGTCAATTGCGGAGCCATCGGAGCTAGAACTGCCTCCCCCTGGCCAGGGCTTTGGAGACAGGAAGCAAAGCCTGCAGGGGAACTGCTGTCCACCAGCAAGTCCCAGTCTGTGGGTACAAACCCCCTTCCCCTTGGGGAGTTATCTCATTCACAGGCCGGTCCTGCCTTTAGGGATCTCTAGAAACCAGCAGGGAGGGGATGGGGGGAGTATGTCTGTATAACGCAGCGTGGCCTCCCAGCATGATGGGGTCATAGCTGGGTCGACTTTAAAGCCAGAAGGTGAAAGCTCATCTTATCTGAACCCCCCCCCCCAATACAGGCCAGGAACTTTCCCCTAGTTCCCCCGTATTGAGCCCAGGAACTTGTGCCGGGCTAAAGGAGCCCCTCCAGAGAGGCACCAGTCCTGCTATGAAGATAGCAAGAGACGTAGGGTCCCCCTTTTCCTCGACGTTCGTGCCACGGCCCAGCCGCCCTCCTGGTGAGCAATGTGGGCCGAATTTTGAACTGGAATTTTTCTGGCTTCCGCTGCCAGCCCCTGGCTCTTGTTCTGCCGCTCTCTGCTGGTTCAAAGAGCCCTCTCTCCCCCAGGCTTTTCTCCCCGGGAAAGTAAATCCTGCCTTGCAATCAAGCCACCCGTCCACCCTCTCTTGGATCGCGAAGCTCTGCACGCCTCTGCCAGGGAGGCGCTTTCAAATCGTCTGTGTGGCCCTTTGCTGCTTCCTCACCACCCAGCCAGCCCAGGCAGGATGGCTGCATTAACAAAGGGCCATCAGCCGCTGTGTGCCCATGTCTGAGTAATTCAGAGCCAGTGGGCATGTGACAGGGGGTCTGACCCACCCCGCATCATGCCTCGGTGAGGTAGGGAAGGGGGGCACTTTATGGGGGCTGGGCTTCCCCCTGGGCAAGGAGAGGATGGAAGCTCTAGTGGCGAAAGTGCTGTGCAGGGAGTCTAGCGAGCTGGGTTCAGTTCCCAGCTTTGCCACAGGTTTCTGGGACGACCTTGGGCACGTTCCTTAATCTTTCCCAAGCAGCTGTCAAGTGGGGCTAATGATCTCTCCTCTGCCAGTGGGATGTGAGCCCTTTGGGGTCTCTCTCTCATGCGGAACCGGTGGCAGTCCCTGGACTTGGCTTAGGCCCCCTAATAATTGTGCTGTTTCCCGCTGGATTGAGCCAATTGTTGGGGGCCCGGAGGACATTTAACGACACCGTTAATGAGCCATGGAGTTAGTGGGGCACTTGTCACTTAAACACAATGAGGGACAAGAGCAGGCTCTCACAGGGCAGAGTAATGGGGCAGTGCTTTTCTACCTGCCCCATTTCCAGCTGCTGGGCTGATGCATAGAGAGGGGGAGTGGATGGGGGAGCCCAGGGTGCCTGTTTTGGGATGCCTGGACGGGCAGATGCAGAGCAGGTGGCGGAGTCTGCGGATTCCCTGCTGCAGGACCCGAACCCCCTCCACCCCCGGCCGCGGTGTCCCCAATTCATCAATCAGCGCCCGCTCTGTGAACGGAATCCCAGCCCAATGAGGAGGCCATGCTGGGACCGGCCGTACAGGCAAGGGACGGGGCACATTCCAGCAGCGCGGAATGCCAGCCTGGCAAAGGGCAGTCAGGGAGGGCTGTGTGGTGGCATCCCACCCGCCCCTGCAAACACAGGGAGTAAACACTGAGGCTACAGAGCTTCTCTGCTGATTGACAGAGGGCAGGGGGGCTAAGCGGGGTCAGCTGGGATCCCAAAGACGTATTGATTTACAGGAGATTTTTGTTGTGAGTGAGAGACTTTGCCGGCACTTCAAATAAAAGTTTGATTCTCTCTACAAGATTTGCTCTCTTCTCTCCTCCCCCACTCCCCTCCCCACCCTGATTTTGCCATGGGAAAATGCACCTCAGTGTAAACCCGGCGTACGCACAATCAGAATCCGCCCGTCTCTTTCGCTCTCTGCCCACCCTCATCTTTGCATCTGGCTGAACAGATGCTCCAAGTCACTTTAAGGGATATCTGTGCCAGGCTAGAGCGGCGGGGAGGGACATGCCCGCTGAGCCGCAGCACCCATGGGGAGTCCAGGCCGTCAACTCAGAGCGCAAGACAGAAGCATCCCCTGCACCACCTTCACCCCAGGGAGGAACGGCGCCTGCCCTTACCTTGAGCCCAAAGGGACACTTCGCAGTCTGGGTCCACGTTGGCCGGACGTGTGGTGGAACCCGAGAGGAAAATGACCCAATTTTCCCCCTTCGCCTGGTCTGAGCGACGGTGAGCAAAACTTTCTCACGCCGAGCCGGGTAAAGTTGGTGCCCCGAAGTGCCAAGGTTCAGCTGCAGAGGCAGGCGGGCAAGGCCTTTTAAGAGCTGTTGCTACAATCAGATAAGAGGCTCTGAAAAGCCCTGAGCTCCCATCTCTTTTATGCTTCTTTTTTCCCCCCTTCCCCTCTTACAAAACTTTGTCCAAGTTCAATTGAATGAAAGGATTATTTTTTAAAAGGAGGGGGCGGCAAAGGGAGTTGATTGACAGCCCAGAGGGCCCTATCGCAGGAGGAGGGGGCTGGCTGTGATTGGAGGGACCAAGGTGGGGTGGGAGGAGCCGAGGAGTGTAAAAGAAAAAGGGAAAGAAAGAAGGAAAAAGAACTGGCAGGGAAAGGTGGGAGGCAAGGGGCAGGGGAGGGAGGATGGAGAGTGAAAGTTTGAGAGGAAAGTTAATGAGGTGGAAATCAATCCCTCGCTCAGAGAGGGTCACGTTCCCGCTCTCCTGGAAAGGGAGGGATGGAGCACAACAGGAGAGAGAGAAGGATTTCGTTACCAGGCCCCTGCCCTGGGAGAGCTTTGGGGATTTAAAGGGCGCAAGTAGCCAGGCTTGGCAGGTCTCAGTGCTAGGCCCTGTCTGTTCGCACCGGTGTCCGTTAACACAGCACAAAAGCCCTGCAGAGCTGAGCTGCAACCGGGTAACACAGGGCGTCACCTTGGGGCTTAGCATCAGGTCAGTTACACCCAGGCAGCCTCCTGGATGTGCATCTCCAGGCTGGCTCCTGCGTGGACAGGCTGGGAATCACTGCCAGAGCCTGGCTCTTCCCTGCCCTGGCTCCTTGCACAGCTGTTTATTCCAGGGCACGGAGCTCCAGCCCGCCACGCGCCTGGGTCTTATTTACACCCGTGCATTGCTCTGGAAGCCCCAAACGGGGGGGGGGGGGGGGGGGGGCGGGGAAGC